CCCTGGGCAAAGCCTGCAATATATCTTTAACTAAACTCTTCTGAGAGTTTGACTCTGGTGGAGCTGAATTTCGAACTTCACTAATGGACATGAGCTAAATGTGCAGCTCCATGTTCCTCCTGCCCTCTTACAGTATCTTCTTAGGAGAGATTATTCAACATATGACTAAAGTTGGCACCTTGGACCATCATGGCCCATTTCCACTAGCCCTCAATAACCACATTCAACTCTCTGTTTCTATAACTCAGGTATTTTAACTAACAATATCATGTGATGATAAAGCTTTTGGCTTCCTCTAACTGAAATATTTTACTTAGCGTGATGTCTCTAAAGGCATATATATTACAAATGGGGGAACCATTTATTTATTCACTACTGTTGGTATAGTTGCATTGTAATATTTTAAAATCAATTTTGATTTGAGTATAGTGACTTTGCATTGTTGTATTAGTTTCTGCTGTACATCAGTGTGAGTCAATTATATGCTTATATAGATCCCTCATGTTGGATTGTCTTCCCTTTTGTGTCACCACAGAGCACTGAGTAGAGTTCCTTGTGCTTTTCTTTCTTATTTTGTTAGTAATTTAAATTTATTTATTTATTTTAAATGGAGAGTGATTACTATACAACATTGTGATGGTTTTTGCTGTCCATCAACCTTAGTGAGCCACAACACATCCTTAAGCCCACCCCGCATCCCTCCCCACCCTATTCCTCTGGGTTCTTCCAGATCACTAGCTTTGGATGCCCTGCTTCATGCATATGTACACCTGAAGGATGACTTTCCTGCATGAAATTGTACTTGTCTATGTTTCACATATGAAAATATGGGTACAGAGTTTTCTACATGAAATATGAAATCTGCATTTCACTTTTGTAAATCTAGTTGTATATTTTTGGTCATGATACATGGTTTACGGGACGTTACACATCTGGATGTCTGTGCACACTTCTTCCACATGAATATGGAATTGTGTATATCTCACATAGGACATGGAGAAGGCAATGGCACCCCACTCCAGTATTCTTGTCTGGAAACTCCCATGGACGGAGGAGCCTGGTAGGCTGCAGTCCATTGGGTCGCTACGAATCGGACACGACTGAGCGACTTCACTTTCACTTTTCACTTTCACACATTGGAGAAGGAAATGGCAACCCACTCCAGTGTTCTTGCCTTGAGAATCCCAGGGACGGGGGAGCCTGGTGGGCTGCCGTCTATGGGATCGCACAGGGTTGGACACGACTGAAGTGACTTAGCAGCAGCAGCAGCACATAGGACAATTTGAGCATACATTTTCCTGCTTAAAGTATGGAATTTTATATATTTTCTATATGAAAATCTCCATTAAGATCTTCTGACATGAAGTATGTTCTCAATAGTTCAAATATGAAAGCATGATGCGAATTTTCACTCATGAAATAGAAGCTTTCTACATTTCAAAAATGAAAATCTAGGTAGATTATCTTACCTGAAATTTGGTATATTTTATACTTCACACAAAGATATTTGGGTGCCAATTTCCTTGATTTACATATGCAATACTCTATCATTTCACATATGAATATATGAGTGCTGTTTTATCTGCACTAAACAGATGTGATTCTCTATAGTTCACATTTGAAAATCTAGGCACAGATGGTCCTGCATGATATATGGAATTCATTGTATGAAAATCTGGGCAAAGATTTCCCGATGTAAATATTGACTTCTGTATATTACATTTCCGAATATCTGTGAGCACATTTTCCTACACAATATATGGAATTCTCCAGTAAAACGTTTGAATATACAGACATTAATTTTCCTACATTAAATATTAAATTATCTCTACAACACACATGAAAATATTAGCATGGCTTTTGTGGGCATAGATTTTCAAATGTGGAATACAGAATTCTGTATGTTTCACATGTGGCAATCAGTGTGCAGATTTTCTTAAATGAAATACAGAATCACATACATTTTACAGATGATAATTGGAACAATGACTTTTCTGCTATATTGACATGTGATTCTGTATATTTCATATATGAAAATCTTAATTAAGATTTTCTGACGTGAGTATGTAATTTTCTATATTTCACATTATAGAAATCAGGGAACAGATTTTCCTACATGAATTAGGACATCTCTACATTTCACATGGGCTTCCCTGGTAGCTCAGAGGGTAAAACATCTGCCTGCAATGTAGGAGACCTGGGTTTGAACCCTGGGTCGGGAAGACCCCCTGGAGAAGGGAATGGCAACCCACTCTAGTATTCTTGCCTGGAGAATCCCATGGATGGCAGATCCTGGTAGGCTACAGTCCAGGGGATGGCAAAGAGTCAGACACGACTGATCCACTTCCCTACATTTTACATATAGATATCTGTGAACAGGTTTTCATACATGTCATATCAGAGTTTTCACATTTAGTATAAGAAAATCTTGGCCCAGATAATTGTACAAAAATATGGAAATCTTTATGTTTCATATATGAAAATATGAGTGCCAATATTCCCATATGAAATATGGAGTTCTCTATCTACCATATTTGAAATAGGGCCATCCATTTTCTACATAAATATGAAATATCTATGTATCACAGATGAATATCTCTGCTCAAACTTTCCTAGAGGGAGTATTAAAGATTATGGGTAACACATAGAAAAACCTGGGTGCCAATTTCCCCACAAGTAATCTGGAATTCTGTACATTTAAGATATCTATCTGGGGCGGGGGGGGGCAGAAATAAGATATCTATACAATTCGGTGTACCAATTTTACCTCATAAAATATGAAATTTTGTATATTTCAGATATGAAAATCACTGTGACATTTTTACTCTATTAAAAATAGAATTCTCTATATGTTACATATGAAAATCACAATGCTGATTTTACTACACAAAATATTGAATTTTTTGTATTTCACTTTATTAAAATCTGTATGCAGAGTTTTTTACATGAAACATGGAATTCTTTATACTTCCTACATGAAAACCTGGATGGTGATTTTCTTACATTAAATATGGGATACTCTACATTTCACACATGAAAATCTAGGCATTGGTTTTCTTAAGATACGAAGATCCAATATGGTATTGGTAATGCCCCTATTTCACAAGTGAATATATCGGCACCACTATTTCTTCATGAAATATGGAATGCTTTGCATGTCTTATACATATATCAAGACAACGATTTCTGCCATGAAATATGGAATTCCATATATTCCCTATATCAATATCTAGGTGCTAATTGCTCCTTCATGGAAGTTGGACTTTGGTATAGTTCACATTTGAAGATCAGAATGGAGATTTTCCTATAAGAAATATGGAAATCTCTAGATTTTGTAGGAACCAGTGGTTCTTCATGTACTGCCACGTGTTCCCTGTTTGCATTTGTGTCTCTGTCCCTTACACGTGTGTGCTTGTGTTGCATGTGTGTGTGTGCATGTGTGTGCATGGGTCCTGCCCACTGCAGACACAGAGATGAAGGTGACAGAACATGAGATGTGGAGCAACCAGAAGAGGACACACGGGGCATTCACAGACTAGCGGAGGCTGGTCTATGCATCTCTGTGATGCCCCTGTCCAAGACAGGAATGAGGAAAGGATGACACGTGACACCTCTGGACAGTGACTCTGCACATCTGCAGTTATATCAAGAGGCATAAACAAGCTCACAATTTCTGCTGTGTGGTGTGTTTGTATCAGTAAACAGTGGTGGGGGGTTTCAGGAGTCACCCAGAGGAAATAAATCAAGTGATGTGGGGATTTAAAGCCACTGTCTGTGGACCCCTCAGTCTGTGGTGAATTGGCTACCACGTGGAAATCCTGGACGAGGCTAGGGCAGGACCCCCGATTTTGAAAAGGCCAGGGTCTTTCAGAAAAAGGAAGAGACTGGAAGGAGGAGGATTGGAATGAGAGCCTGCTTCACTGCAGATTGTTTCACACACGTGAGAAGGAGATCTGGGAAAATCCTGGCTAGTGCTGCCCAGGATCAGCCTGTCAGCCAGCACACTCCCTCTCCAAGTGTGTTACATATTGGCACCATGCGAGACAAATGACATGCTAAGGTAGGCTCTCAGAGTGAATCCCCAGGCATCCTAGGAGAGACAGGGTGTGAGCGTGGAATCCGGACTACATCGGGCTCTTTGCTTAATGGAGGAAATTATCCAGGCACAGTCCCCCCCCCCCCCCCCGCCGCTTTCATTGAACATTTTGGGAGAGCACCCAGAGGTTAAACGTCCTGTGGGACACAGGAGTGTCCTTTTCAGATATGGAAGTGGGAATTCATGGTTTGAATTTCTGGAGGCCAAGGAAATGGCAGCTTGCACCTGGGATTTGCCAGATGGAAGACAGGCAATGTGCCTGGAGGCAGGCACTCAGTGAAGCAGAGGCATCAGGTGGCTTGCTGGAGCCCTGGAAGCCGGGGTAGGGAGGGCCCGGGGGAAGGGGGCGGGACCGAGGTGACTCCCTTTGGGCTAGGGGCCTGTCCCTGGAGCATGATGCCCACTACCCTCTCTGCCAATGGCTGAGATTGGGCCCAGCAGTCTGGGAGTGGTTCACAGCTCCAGCAGCCTAGGGGACCCCTTGGCCTGGGCAATGGGGCCGGCCTGTGCACCTTGCTCCAGGTGGTTCCCCACCGCATTCTTCAGTCTCAGGACACCCCCAGAAGGAGGCAGCGATGGCCACTGGGTGATGGCAGCATTTGCATGGGCTGTGCAGGCCACCTGCTGTGCTGTCATGTCCAACCCCTTCACAGCTGCACCAGCTCGGGCCACAGCCAGGGCCACGACCACAGTGAGACGCTGCTAGAGGATCTCAGGAGCACCCAGGGACTCTGGATCTTCTTAGCTGTGAGGCCAAGTCTTCAGGGGACAGAGGCCCTGGGGCCTGCCCTCAAGGTGGGGGCGTCAGGGACCTTGCAGGCACCAGGTGGCACACCAAGCAAGGAGGCGGCTCTCTTCAGTGTGGAGGCAAAGAAAGGAAGGTGAGGCCCTGGAAGAGGGAGAGATGGCGGGGATTGGGCAAGATGTCAGGCTGCTGGTGGAAGAAGACAGCACGGCGGAGGTGGAGGTGGTGACAGACGTGGAGCAGGAGCAGTTGTCCTCGCAGGAGCCAGAGGAGAACCCGGAGCAGGAACCTGCAAGGCCAGGAACCCCAATTGACCTACCGGACCACACTGGAGGGGCTGGAGTCACTGGCGGCCCTTCAGGCAGTGAGTTTAACTCTGGGAATGTGAAAGACCACAGGGCCTACATTCGTATCAGGTGGAGCAACCATCAGAGCGAGGGTTACTTGGCTCAGAGATGTGCCATCTTCCAGGGCATCACATGCTTCTGGGCCCAAGCCCCATCCTGACTGCTGTTCCTTGGAGTCAGCTGCTCAGGAGGAGGAGAAGGACCAGGAGCAGGAATAGAGTTGGGGACAAGGGCACAGGCAAGGTGTGGGGTGGCCGAGGGAATTGGGTGCTGGGGGTGTGGAGATCCAAAGATATGGGAGCAGCAGAAATCAGGCATGGCCAAAACACCTGTAGGTGTCTAAGCCATTACTTTGGGTGACTCCTTTTGGCCTGCATCTGAAGAGGAGCAGTACCGGGGGTGGGGATTCTATATCAGAAGTGACCAGAAACATTAAGCCAGAGTAGCATTCCCAGAGGATTATTATTGTATTTGTGGATAATCCCAGGACATAACAGAGACAGTCCCACTAGTGCAGTGCAGAAGCACGAGGTTTTCCACACCCAAGGTGGCGCTGGAAGGGGCTGCTATCTGGTAGGCTATGAGTGCCAGACGACTCCAGACACACCTTTGTGAAGAAAGGGAGCAGGTGAGATACCCAGGGCTTTCTTGCTAAACACACATAAACACACACACACACACAAAGACACACACACGTACCCACACACAACACACACACTTGCCCGCAGACAAGGTGTGCCAAAGGAACTGCAGTTCCTGACGTTCTAAGCAGTGACATGCCACTACTCAGCACACATAGGCCAGTCAGAGATCAGAAGTGGTCAGAAACCGACCCTCCCTTGGCGATTGCAGACACCTTCAGACGCTGAAGACCACAGGGGACCAAGAGCCGTGAGCATGTCTGATGTTATGGCACTGGCTGGGGACATTGGTGGGGCGGGCAGGCAAGCGTGAGTGCCCAGAGTGCTTGCAGATGCCTGTTCCAGTATCCCTGTGATATGTTGTTGCTGAGCCATGAAAGACGCTGGGATTCTTGGCCTGGAGAGGAGAAGAATTCTGTCTGGGGCTAGTAACAAGGCTTGATCACTCAGAGATTTTGTGTAATCAAGTTTTATTAAAGTATAAAAGAGATAGAGAAAGCTTCTGACATAGACATCAGAAGGGGGCAGAGAGTGTGCCCCCCTGCTAGTCTTTAGCAGATACTGTCTGCTAGTTAGAGAAAGGAAATATCTCAACCCTGAGAGAGTGGCACCAGGCCTCTCTCCCACAACGTACATCTTGAGAAAACACTGGCACAAGTTGGGTCATCCTGGGCCATAAAACAACTGACATGAATCTTGAAAAAAGGCAGGTTTCCAAGCAAATACATAGTCTTATTAACACAGAATAGGAGAACCATTGTATGAGTAAAACATACTGGTTTATTGAGGCATTTTTGGTTTTGAGCCTTGGGTGGAACCAATTTGAAGACAGTCTAGGGTAAATACATAATTCATTAACATAGCTTAAGAAAAGCATTTCCATAAGAAAAATGCATTGGTTAGCTCAAGGTTTGAGAAAGTTAAGTTCAGGTGGAACCAGGTGCTGTCATGGCGACACAGAATTGTAAAAGAAACCTCCTTTTAATTTTGTATAGAGAAGGGAAATAAATTCTGACACTTGTAGCTTGTTTTCTCCTGCCACTTAAGAGAAAGATGAAAAAATCTCTGACACTTGCAGCCTATTCCTTCCCTTTGCAGGCCCCTAGGCTTTCTGCCTCTTACCCTCTCACTTGTTCTGTCCCAGACTAGCCCTGTTGCTGTGGCTCTACCTGGCACGGCATGTGGTATGACTGGCTTCTTGACCTGCAGTGGACTGTGAACAATGGCCAACTATCCGTCATGATCAGTGAAAAAGATGAAATCTTGCTTAGCTACATGATGGATTTGAAGGTCAATGAAGGAGAATGAGGACAGGTAGGGGAGCTGGGCAGGGAAGTGGGGGATCATCTTATGCGGTGAGAGCACTTGAGTGGAGAGGCAGAAGCTGTTGATGCCTGCACCACAGGCAAGCTGCAGACCCTAGAAACTTGCACATTTCCCCTCCTCCTGGTCGTGACTGGTGTAGGAACTGAGGCATCTCTGGCCCCGCTGACTGCTGCCAAGTTTCTTTTCAGAGCAAACCCTACTTCAGGAACACAGTGATCATTAAGGAGTACTACCTTGACATCACTGGTACAACTTGCCTCCCAGGGTGGTGTGGGTGGGTGGGGAACAGAGTGGATGCTCCTCTTGTGCTATCCTTCCCTGCCTCCCCTGTCTTCCTCCAGGATATACGCCATGTCACTGCACTCCAGTCCACTGGTTCTGGGTTTATAAATGGGGAGCTCTAAGCCACAGGCTGGAAACCAGCAGCCTTAACTTCCTCAACTGGTTGTTGGATCACAACAGCCCAGGATCAAACAGGAAAGCTGAGATGGGGTTGCTCTGGGCCTCTGCAGAATTGATGATTTTTGTTGGAGTTCTTCGCTGTTCATGAAGTGTTCGGGTCCTTGTGAGCCCCATGCTGACTTCGTTTGTGTTGCCAGCAGATAATCAGCGAAGACCTGTGGGTCGACCTCCTGCAGTATTTCCCATAGAGATAGATCTTGCCAGGTAGATCTTGCCTGACAGAAACACAGGCTGTGAATGGATCATAGGTGGGCCCTGAAGGGACAGCCATGCAGAGGCTGGGACACTCTCCTTTCCCAAAACGATATGCTCAGGCTCATGCAGGCTGGATGTGGAGCCTGGATTTGGGTCATACAGGTAGCAAGCTGAGACTGGAGGCTTGGGGACTTCGTGTGTCTAAGCATTACTCGAAGAAGCTGTGATTACAAGAAGAGAGAGTCCTAGATGATTCTGATAGAGGCAGGGTGAATCAAGCACTTTTGTCAGAATCATCTTTTACCAGGTTGGCCACTCCCAGGCCTCCTGCTGCTCACTGAGTTTAAGATTTCCCTGGGCCCTTAAGTACCGACCTTCCTCCTGGAAAGCACCACCATTTGGAATGGGTTTCTCTCCACTGTCCCTTGGCACTTTTGTGCTGACTTTGGGGTCTTCTGTGAACTTCCACATCCACCGATTGACCTCTCTCTCACCACCACCATACAGGTAAAGCCAGAAATGACTTAAGGCTGGCTGGTGATAATACTGAACAGCTGGGGGAAGAAATGGACAGGGATCCCAAAAGGGCAGGACACGGTGCCTACTGATGCCATCTCCCATATCACTGGACTCAGGCATCTTCAGCTACTGAAACACCTGTGTTCCCTGTTTGTGTTTGTTTCACTGTGCCTTCCTCATGTGTGTTTACACAGGTGTCTTTGTGTCACCTGTGCTTGCATGTGTTTGTGTGTGTGCATGTGTCTGGTCCACATCAGATGCAGAGATGAAGGTGACAGAATATGAGACTTGGAGGAACAAGAAGAGGAGGCATGAGACATCCACAGGCTCGGGGAGACTGGTCAATGTATCTCTGTGGTGCCCCTGTCCAAAACAGGAACGAGGAAAGGATGGCTAGTGACAGCTCCGGACAGTGGTTCCACAAATCTACAATTACATCAAGAGACATACACAAGCTCACAGTTTCTGCTGTGTTGACCCGTTTTTTACTACCAGCCTTTTTCCATGACTGATCTCCTTAACTGGAAACAGCACACCCCATCATGTTCTGAAAAGCCCCAAGAAGTGATTGGTGTCTTAGAATCCATCTTCCAGACCCACCGCCCGACCTGGGGAGATTGCCTGCAGCATCTGCTCACCCTGTGCAATACAAAGGAACACCAATGAGTCATGACAAAGGTAGAAAATGGCTCCAGGATAATACCCCAGGGGCCCAATTAGATGTGGAGAACCAGGCTTGGGAGAACTTCCCAGAGGAAGAGCCTCGCTGGTACCCCAATACTGAGGGGGGAAGCAACCAGTTTGAGAGATATCCAGAGGCCCTACCTCCTACAGGGGGTAAAAGATGGGTCTAAGAAGCCTGCTAACATGGCTAAGACCACTGAGATGCTACATGAACCAGATGAAAGCCTGGCTGATTTCTGCAATAGGCTGTGTGAAGCTTTCTGGATTTTCACCCCTTTTGATCCTGAAACACTTGAAAGTCAACAGATGATAAATTCAGCCTTTGAGGGACAGGCCCCATTGGACATCTGAAAAAAAAAATTACAGTAGTTAAAAGGGTTTTCAGGTAAAAATGCCACAGAACTGCTTTGCCAACAAAATGTTTGTCAATTACAACCAAATAAGGACCGGGATGGGGAATACATGTAAATCCATGGCTAATTCATTTCAATGTATGACAAAAACCACTGCAATGATGTAAAGTAATTAGCCTCCAACTAATAAAAATAAATGGAAAAAACAACAACAACAACAACAAGTGGATGAAGCAAAAAAATCCCACCCTTGGCAGCTGCTCTGCCAAAGCTTGCCAAAGCATACACTCACGGTGGGACTACACCATAAGGCAAGGGGCCCAGATCTGAAAAGGACAATTCCCCTCAGCCACGATCAGTGTGCCTATTACAAGGAAAGGGACACTGGGAAAATGAGTGCCCCAGGCACCCTGAGAAAAAACCAAAGCAGCAGGCCCACAGAGCTGGTATCAACCCGAGCCACCCAGCACTAGTCTGATTGGGCTAGCTCAAGCAGAATCCAACTAGAGGGGACTGGAATCTCTCCAACTGGGTCCCCGAGAGGCCATGGTCAGAACTCAAGGAGGAGGCCATCCAGTGGACTTTATGGTGGACACTGGCGCTGAGCATTCTGTGGTCACCCAGGAGATAGTCCCCTTATCGAGAAAAGAAACTGTCATCATCGTGGGCACAAGCACCCAGACCTGCAGGCCGTTTTGCAGTCCTTGACAATGCCAAATGCAGGGCCACGAGGTAGAGCACGAAGTCCTCTAGCTGCCCTATTCGCCCTATTTGCTTGATGGGAAGAGATGTGCTTGCTATGATGGGGGCCCAGATTTCCTTTTCTGCTAATGGGTAACCTCACCTAAAGCTAGCAGGCCCACCTCCTCCTTGATTATGACTCTTGCCATAAGGTGAAAAGAAGAATGGTGCCTGTATTTCTTCCTTCCAGGAGAAGGGACCATTCCTCCTCAATCAGAGACCGAGTATCCAGCAGTTTGGGCCGATGAAAGTGCTCCGGGTCTGGCAAAACCCCTTGCTCCCATCCTGATTGATATGAAACCAGGAGATCAGCCTGTAAAACTACAACAGTATCTAATTCCCCGGTAGGCCTGGCTGGGAATCCAGCCTTATTTAGTAGACTACTTCAACACGGAATTCTGATGAAATACCAGCCACCCTGGAACACCCCACTACTACCTGTGAAGAAGCCAGGGAGGCCTGACTACCATCTGGATCAGGACTTAAGAGCTGTAAACGAGGCAAAAACTGCTCTGCACCTGGCAGTGCCTAAAACATACACCGTACTAGGACTGATCCCTTCCACAGCTGAATGGTTTACTTGCTTGCACTTGAAAGATGCCTTCTTCAGCCTCCAGCTTGCACCTGTCAGCCAACCACTATTTGCCCCTGAATGGGAAAACCCACACATGGGAAATAAGGAACAGCTCTCTTGGACGAGGCTTCCTCAGGGTTTCAAGAACTCCCCTACTCTCTTCAGTGGAGCTGTAGCCACAGACTTTGTGAATTTTCCTGGACAGGAGTTAGACTGTGTCCTGCTGAAATAGGTCATTGAGCACAACACAGGCTCGATGCCTAGAAGGAACAAAGGTCCCCATCTCCTTGTTAATGGAAGCTGGGTACTGGGTATCAAAGAAAAATGTACAAATCTGTAAGAGACAAATCAAATATGTAGGTTTTAACATCATTTGGGACAGCTAGTGCTGGGAACTGAAAGGAAACAAGCAGTTTGTGCCAACCCTCCCCCTACCACTCACCAGAAGGTCCATGAAATCCTGGGAGTAGCAGGATTCTGCAGGATGTGCTTCCCTGGATGTTCACACCTGGCCAGACCCGTATATGAGGCCCTGAAAAGGACAGGAAAAGGCTCCCCTTGAATGGGAGCCAAGAGGCGGCATTTCAAATAATTAAGGCTAAAGTCTCCAATGCCTCAGGCCTAGAGCTTCTCAGTGTAACCGGGGAGTTTAATCTCTGTGTTCAAGAAAAGTACAAAATGGCCTTGGGAGTCTTGACCCAAAAATTCAGCCCTTGGCAAAGACTGGTGGCCTAGTTGTCTAAATAGATGGCCACCCTACCTCTGAGCAGTAGCAGACACTACCTTGCTAGTGAGGGAGGCTGACAAATTAATGTTGGGGCAAAACCTAAATGTTAAGTTCACACACTCAATTGTAACCCTGATGGATAGCAGAGGCCACCATTGTCTCACACATGCATGGATGACTCAGTATCAAGGGTTACTATGTGAACATCCGCAGGCAAAACTGGAAGTTGTATGAACTCTAAAACCAGCTATCTTCCTACCAAAAGAAGCAGGGCCCTTGGAACATGATTGCTTGGAATTACTAGATGAAGTAGTTTCTAATAGACCAGACCTGACTGACAAGCCACTCCACAACCCAGACCTGGTCCTATATGCTGATGGTAGCAGCTTCGTGGAAAACAGCAAGAAGAGGGCTGGGTATGCTGTAGTGTCTGACTCTGAAGTGGAGGAAGGAGAGGCACTTCCTCAAGAATGGTCAGTACAGAGAGTGGAGTTATGGGCATTATGCCCTGATGGGCAATAGAACTCAGCTGAGAGCAGCAAGTTAATACCTATACAGACTTGCGGTATGCTTTTGCTACTCTACATGTCCACCGAGCCTTGTAGAAGGAAAGAGGACTTCGTACAGCAGAAGGGAAAGGGATTAAAACCCAAGTTGAAATCTGGAAACTTCTGGAAGTTTTATGGGAACCAAAGGAAGTGGCAGCTGTCCACTGCAAAGGCCAACAGAAAGGAGGTGATGGGTGGCCAAAGGGAACCGTCACGCTGATGCAGCCACCAAAGAGGCTGCCCAGGGGCAGCAGCCAGACAAATCAAAAGTTCTGTGAGCCCTAGAGATACCAGCTCCCCCCAGGTACTCTCCCGAGGAGGAAAAGTGGATAAAAAAGAAGCAGAAACCAAAGCCAAGATGGGATGGTGGCTCACACAAGACCACGAGTCTGCGTTCTGGAACAACTTGCCTACAAGCTGGTGCACCAGCAACATGAACTGACCCATATATGCAAGACTGCCTTAGATACATTGCTAGGCCCATACTATCTCTTTTCTCACTTCCCCACACTCTGTTCTTCTGTCTCCCAGTAATATGTAACCTGTTTACAAAATAATGCTCGCCAGGGGCCTAGTAGGTCGGCAGGGACACAACACTGTGGACTATCCCCCTTTGAGAATATGGAAGCAGGTTTCACTGAAATCACCTCAAATCAAGGATTTAGATACCTTGTAGATTTTATCTCCACCTTTTCAGGCTGGGTGGAAGCGTTTCCTACCCGAACTGAAAAAGCAAGACAAGTAACCAAGGCACTCCTGAAAGATGTTGTCCCCAGATATGCAATGCCTCTGACCATAGGGTCAGAAAAAGGACCGGCATTTGTAGCTGATGCAGAACAACAGGTGGCAAAGCCTTTGAAAACACAGTGGAAATTGCATACTGCCTACGATCCCTAGAGCTCAGGGAAAGTGGAACGCATGAATTGAACCCTCAGACAGACCCTAGGAAAACTGTTAGGAGACCAGCTTATCTTGGGTAGGCATGTTGCCTGCGGCCCTCTTAAAAAAGTGAGGTGTTTACCCCAGGTAGAGATAGGGTTTTTTCCATTTGAAATCCTGTATGGACCACCACCCCTGATAGTCACCTTAAGGGGAGACGCCAGAGAACTGGGGAACTTGGACTTATATAGGCAGCTATAAGGGTTAGGACACAAAATCTCTCAAATACATACGTGGATAATTGATAGAATACCCATTTCCTTAAGCATAACATACATCCTCACCAACCAGGAGACTGAGTAAGGGTAAAGGATTGCAAAAAGAGCCTTTAAAACCCATGTGGAAAGGGCCCTAGTCTGTAATCTTAACTACCCCCACTGATCTCAAGGTGGCAGGAACAGATGCTTGGATCCATTACTCCAGAGTCAAACCAGCAACCCCGACTGACAGCCAAGAGAAGTGGGAAACGACCCTTAGCTTGGAGGAAGCCCTGTGCCTGACCTTGCGAAGGAAACAAGCACCCCAAAGCCCCGCTCTGGCCCCCCTGGAAGTTGCTCAATAAACACATGGCTGAAGCTTGAGGAATGAATAGGACCAACAAAAGGCAGATGTATTTGTTATTAATTGGCCTGGGACTCCCCCTATTCATCTTCTTTGGAGCAGGGCTTTACTCTTTCCCCAAGAGTGGACTTGTATCCAAAAACTCTCTCTCTGCTTTGCTTATTTCTTCATAGTTCTTGTTTTTTGGGGTGTCCTACTACTGTGATCAACTTAAATATGAAAACAGCGTATTTTTGCCTTACAGTTCTGTTACATTGTAAAATCCCCTCCTCATCTGAGAGTTAGGGTGATTGTTCTGAATGTACGGAGTCTTTCTACCATGAGGGTACATGGGCCGAAGGATTCACTGACTATAGATACAAATCAATAGAATGTTATATTTCAGCTTTCCCATGCACTAAGGAAGGGAAGCATTACTGGGAGGGAGAAATTAGAGCCCACAGTATGAATGGCCTAACGTGCTATGGCACCCCAAGACAGATGGCCTGCTGGGCTCGACAGACTCATTTTGGGGTGTCAGATGTAGGGGGGGAGGGGGCAAGACCAGGCTAAGAAAGAACCAGACCAAGAGGTGGTCAACCAGTTAAAAGGCCAAGTAACCAAGCCAGACCAGTTGGCATCAGGTCCAAAGACAAGGTCCTCTGGACTGTACAACCAGATTTGAGCCTCCCTCAAAGATAAGTTAGAAATGCCCACTATTGGAATAATCTTTTTATCCATCTAGCCGAGGAGGTGGCCCCAGAATTAAATGTCACTAGCTGCTGGGTTTGTGGAGGGGCTCTGATGTGTAAAGCATGGCCCTGGAAGTATACTGCATTAGATGCCTTTCTGCTATTCCAATGGAATCGAACAACTAGCAGGTGGGCAGGGGGTGCTATTCAGAGTTGGACCTGGTTCAAAGGAAGAGTAGGCAAAGAATGCCTAAGCCGAGAAGGGATAAATGATACCTGGGTCAGAGAAAACAAAATACAGAAGAGCCCTGGTCTATAATGACACCTGCAAGAAACTTCTGTGGAGGCCAGGGACCCCAACCTGGTATTGTGCTCCCCAAAAAGGAGGGAATGGAAATCACACTTGCACTCCCTTCAACTCCACTTCTGGGATTCTAGAGCAAAAGTGGACAGAAAATCAACCTGATACTAATCCCTTTCTTGCAATCCCAGGCATTAGCCCATAATGGAAGCATCTTTCCTCCACAAACCCAGACTTATGGCAGCTCTGAGGTGTTTCCAATTTGTGACAACCTGAGTCATAGAGAAAAATGATTCATTGAGCTAGGAGGAAAACAAAATTGGGGCAAAGATGAGTGCCACCCCCCCAACAGATAATCCAGTATTATGGTCTGGCCACATAGGCACAAGACGGGATTTGGGGATACAGGACTCCCATTTCCATGCTCAACCAAATAAATCGACTGCAGGTGGTACTTGAGATTATAACTAATGAAATCGCAACTGCGCTGGAACTGTTGGCACAACAACAATCCCAGATGAGGGCTGCCATCTATCAAAACAGAATAGTAGAGGAAGGAGAAGCTTGTGGGAAATTCTACCAAACTGACTGTTGTATCAAATAGGTGTCAATGGAAAAGTTCTGACAGACATAACTAAAAATATCAGGAAGATTGCCCATGTTCTGGATCAGACAATGTTTCTGCTTAAAATATACAAGCAACACCTGAAGCTCAATTCCAGAAAAATAAATGACCCAATCAAAAAATGGGCCAAAGAACTAAATAGACATTTCTCCAAAGAAGACATACAAACACATGAAAAGATGCTCAACATCACTCATTATCAGAGAAATGCAAATCAAGACCACAATGAGGTACCATTACACGCCAGTCAGGATGGCTGCTATCCAAAAGTCTACAAGCAATAAATGCTGGAGAGGGAGTGGAGAAAAGGGAACCCTCTTACACTGTTGGTGGGAACGCAAACTAGTACAGCCGCTATGGAAAACAGTGTGGAGATTTCTTAAAAAACTGAAAATAGAGCTGCCATATGACCCAGCAATCCCACTGATGGGGATACACACTGAGGAAACCAGATCTAAAAGAGACACGTGCACCCCAATGTTCATCACAGCACTGTTTATAATAGACAGGACATGGAAGCAACCTAGATGCCCATCAGCAGACGAATGGATGAGGAAGCTGTGGTACATATACACCATGGAATATTACTCAGCCATTAAAAAGAATTCATTTGAATCAGTTCTAATGAGATGGATGAAACTGGAGCCCATTATACAGAGTGAAGTAAGCCAGAAAGATAAAGAACATTACAGCATACTAACACATATATATGGAATTTAGAAAGATGGTAATGATAACCCTATATGCAAAACAGAAAAAGAGACACAGATGTACAGAACAGACTTTTGGACTCTGTGGGAGAAGGCGAGGGTGGGATGTTTCGAAAGAACAGCATGTATAGTATCTATAGTGAAACAGATCACCAGCCCAGGTGGGATGCATGAGACAAGTGCTCGGGCCTGGTGCATGGGGAAGACCCAGAGGAATCGGGTGGAGAGGGAGGTGGGAGGGGGGATCGGGATGGGGAATACATGTAACTCCATGGCTGATTCATGTCAATGTATGACAAAACACACTGCAATATTGTGAAGTAATTAGCCTCCAACTAATAAAAATAAATGAAAAAAATTAAAAAATAAAAGGCACTATGGAAACAAACAAACAAACAAAAAAAAACAATAACTGGGATTGTCATAGTCATACTCACCAACGTCTGCTTA